CCACCTCTCCCTCAGATCCTCAAAAACGCTCTGAGGGCACTCACCTCTCCCTCAGGTACCCAAAAATGCTCTGAGGGCACTCACCTCTCCCTCAGGTCCTCAGCGCAGTGCTCGCAGGGGTAGAACTTGGAGAAGAGGTTGATGAAGTCCCTCATCTCCCTCTGCTGGGCCCCGGAGGGCCGGTCGGGGTAGTAGGCGGCCATGGTGTGCAGGAAGGCCCAGGTGCTGCGGCCCAGCTGCTCACTGTCCAGGGGACAGTCTGGCGGGGGCTCCTTCTCCTCCGCGACCGCCAGCTCCTGGAGCGGGAGAGAGGGTTGTGAGGGGACACTGGGGTTTGGTGGGGAAACAGCCCCTCTGCGCTGGGTGGGAAGGTGAGATGGGGGAACAGGTCCTTCACATCCTCACTGGGGACATGGCAGAGGCCCCTCAAACTCTCATTTGAGCCTCCTTCACGCCCTCTGAGGGGCGTGACGCGGCAGAGCCCCCCTCAAACTCTCAGAGAAGCTCAAACTCTCATTTGAGCCTCCTTCACATGCTCTGAGAGGGGTGACACGGCAGAGCCCCCTCACACCCTCACTGGGGACATGGTAGATCCCCCCTCACACCCTTAGTGGGGACAAGAGCAGAGCTCCCGTCACACCCGAGGAGAAGATGGACATCCCCTTCACACTCGCACTGAGGAGAGCCCTGTCCCCGGCCCCTTCACGCAACCCCACACTTGAGGGGGCAGGATTAAGGACTGAGAGGACTCTGCAGGGGCTGGGGGTCGCCAGCCGCCCGCAGGGTGCCCGGGGAGGCTCCCACCGCCCCCTCCCGCGGGGAAGCCGCTCCTCACCGCGCCGCCCGGGGCCGCCTGTTTCCTCTGCTCGCGGAGCCAGCTCTTGAAATCCGTGCAGGCTCGGCACGGCTTCTTGGGCGGCTCCCCCGCCGCGCTGCCCGCCGCGCCGTGCCGGGCGGCGAAGGGGAAGGGGAAGGAGCCGCTCTCGGTGCCCGGGAACGCCGCGGAGCCGCGGCCCGCGCGGCCCTCACCGGGCGCCGCCATGTTGGCGCGCGGTGCAGCACGGGCCGGGGCGGCGCCATTGGCGCCCGGGCGCTCTGAGGGGGCCCGGCCCGGCACGCGCCCGAGTGCCGCTTTGTGGTTTTTTGGTTTTGTTTTTGTTTGTTTGTTTGTTTTTACCAAAACAGCAGCAAACTTTGTGTTTAAATATTGTGTTTGAGGAGAACACGGCGGGGGGTTTCTTTCACATGAGCCTCCCGCCTCTACTTGTCCGCTTTTCACCTCACATCACCCCTCAGGTGTGGTGGGGCTGCGTGGCCCCCTCAGGGTGTGCAGAGGGCTCTGTGAGGGGGCCTCAGCCATTGTCCCCCCTCAAGGTGGAAGGGGATGGGGACAGGGTTCTCCTCGGTGGAAGTGTGAGAGGGGTCTCCATCTTCTCCCCCTCAACGTGGCAGGGGGTCTGCCCTTGTCTCCGCTGAGGGTGTGAAGGGAGGTCTGCCATGTCCTGGCTGAAAGTGTCAAGGACTGGTTCCTCCCAGAGGAACTGAGAACAAAAAAAAAAAAAAATATATATGTATATATGTGGTCTGGAGCATCTCATGAGAAGAGACTGCAGGAGCTGGGCCTGGTTAGTCTGGAGAAGGGAAGGCTGAGAGGGGATCCCATCAATCCATACAAGGATCTCCAAGGGGTGTCACAGGATGGTGCCAGACTCTGCTCAGTGGTGCCAGTGACAGGATGAGGAGCAATGGCCATAAACTAAAACACAAGTTCCACCTCAGCACGAGGAAGAGTTTCTTTCCCTGGAGGGTGGCAGAGCCTGGAACAGCTGCCCAGGGGGGTCGTGGAGTCTCCCTCTCCGGAGACATTCCAACCCCACCTGGACAGTCCCTGTGTCACCTGCTCCAGGTGGCCCTGCCTGGGCAGGGGTTGGACTGGGTGGTCTCCAGAGGTCCCTTCCAACCCTAACTCTTCTGGGATTCTTGGATTCTGTAGTATGTACATACTGTGTGTGGGAGAGCTCTCCTACGTGCCAGTGGCACCTCAGCATTATCTCCAGCACAGTCATACGATCAACAGCGCGATTTAATGAGCAAACAAGTGGATAACTCGATTCCGAGTCGTGCATCTCTATCGGAACACGCCCGTATGAAATCCTCCATGTTTTTAACACCTGTCACGTGCTTGTAAATCTGTATTGAGGAAGGATTTTCCTCTTTCCGAGCACTCTGGCACATGTCACCCCAGGGCAGGCACGTCGACCTGAACCCTTGTCTGCAGCTGGGAGGGGTTGGGCTGCTCAGGGTGAAGGAGAGCCCAGTCCTGGCCCCAGACCTTCGGTCTAGAGTGGACACTTGGCAGCTTTCCTTCTATTCCCAGAGAGCCACAGGCTTGTGAGCACACAGGGATGTTGACCCAGCTCCTGGGAGATGGTCTGGCACCCATCAAGCTCCAGAACTGGGTCTCTCCAGTTGGAAAGGTTAATTAGCTGTGGCTTGGCACTATGTTAAAAGCACTTTCTTTTTTCTTTATCCTGTAGTCTGGCAGATGTGACCACCTGCAGCACATCCTGCATCCAGCCTCTGAGACACAGTGGCCTTAGGGAGTTCTTGATGGGGGTCAGAGGATGAAAACTTGGAGACCAGCACAGGCTTCCTCTCTTCCTTCTTTTTGGCTTGCTGTTAGGGGTTTGGGGACTACAAGATAAGTCTCCCACTGTGGGAAATGTGCTCCAGAAAGTGAATTTTGTAGCCACTTCCACTTTTCTCCTCTTCACAGCCTTCAGGTCAAGTGAAAAATATGATTATTTTATTTAACACAAACAAATGTATGTCCAGGATGGAGGTGGACCAAAATATCATCTCATATATAAATAAATATGTGTATATATGATATATTCAACACAGCGTGGTGTAAATGTTTAGTAGGAAAAGCATCATTTTAGAGAAATCCCTCAAAGACTTGCCTTCAACAAGATTTCAACACTTGGTGTGCCTCACGTGGAAATGGCTGAGCTGTTTCCTGCTCTGTGGAGCACTGAGCTGATGGTCTGGATCTCCATCCTGTTTACCAGTGCTCCTTTTTAAAATTTTATTTGCAGTTTTACGAGAACATTTCTTTGCTGATATTCGGGAGGGAGGGAGAAGCCACGTGAGTGACTGACAGGAACTGCTGGAATGGCTTTGTCTACAGTTCCAGACAACTATAAAGACAGATTTCACACATGAAGGAAAGGTCAAGCGGGGATAACATTTTTATATCTGTTTTCCTTAACCGCTAATAAATTCTTTAAATGATGCCGTTGACCTCATTTCTTTTGTAAAATCAGGAAAAAAGATAGAGATCCAGGGAATTTCCTACAGAGCTTTATTGTTTGGTCTTCAAGCAATTAAATAGTTGCAGAAATGTTTTCAAATCGCAGCAATCTCCTGGTTCGGCAGTTCATAGACTCTGCTTCCTCATTAGTGATTTATTTTATTAAGTTAGTTAAAATATAAGCATTTTTATTAGAAAAGAAAAAGCTCATAACCTGGAAAGAAGCTGTTGGTTACAGAGATCCCTGCTCAGTGTTGCTCCCCTTGCTCCTTTCCTGGTCAGCTGTAGGAGCAGAGCTGAATCTTTAGGGAGAGGTGCTCCCAATTTTCTCTGTTTGCCCTCAGGGCCAGCATCATCTTGGATTTCAAAGGGAAAAAAGGAGAGATGCTCAGATTCAAATCAGAGCAAGGAAATTCACTTTACTGTCTCTAATTGAATCCGAGCTCAGAGCCAAATTAATTCCATCCAAAGGAAGGAATGTGGTGCAGAGCAGAAGGATATGGCAGCATTCCTTCGTGCTCCCCCCTGGACATCCCTAACCCACCTGACCTTGTGCTTCCAGCACTGATTTAGGAGCTGGAATGTGGTAGGGCCTGCTACCAAACAAACTCCTGACACAGATGGGATATTAGGGAGAAATTCCTCCCTGTGAGGGTGGGGAGGCCCTGGCACAGGTTGCCCAGAGAAGCTGTGGCTGCCCCTGGATCCCTGGAAGTGTCCAAGGCCAGGTTGGACGGGGCTTGGAGCAACCTGGGCTAGTGGAACAGAGCCCCTATTTTTCAGTGACTGAGGTCTGTGAGACCAGGCTCACTGAAGCTTCCTGAGTATGTGCCTCATTCCTAAGAGCTGCTGAATCCGTGCCTGGAATGGAATTACACAGAGGGCAATGACAGTAACTACCAGGAAGCACCAGTAAAACTTCTGCTGGAGAAAATGAAAGGGTGTGTTTGCCTTTCTCAGGGGAAGAGCTGTTTGATCTCCTGCTCTTGTCTTTGCACGTGCTAAGCAAGAGCTCGGAAACAGGCAGCTGACAGTGGGGGCTTGGGGAAGGAGGAAGGAATGGGGCTGGACACCATCCCTGCCCCTCTGAGCCCTGCAAAATCCGTGGCACAGGGATTCCCACAGTGGGTTTTGGCAAAGCAAAGGTTCCAGCTTAAATACAGCCCCTGAGCAAAGCAGGGGTGACCTCAAGGAGGGCTGGCTCCAAGGAGAGGAGACACAAGGAGGGATGATCCCAAGGAGGCTTCACACGGCTCTTTTCTCAGCAGTGACCCCAGGATGCTCATTTGTGGGTTGGGAAAAGGACTAATATTCTCACAGCCTTCAGCATTTGGGAACCTAAACACCACTGACTATTCAGTAGTTTCTTTAAAGTTTTAAATAAAGGCCCTGGCACAGGTTGCCCAGAGGGATTCTGGATGCCCCATCCCTGGAAGTGTCCAAGGCCAGGTTGGATGGAGCTTGGAGCAACCTGGGCTAGTGGAAGGTGTCCCTGCCCATGGCAGGGGGTGGCACTGGATGGGCTTTAAGTTCCCTTCCAACCCAAACCATTCCAAGATTCTGTGATATTTTGAGGGGAAAATTTTGCCTTGTACCTCTCAGGATTCTTCCCAAGTTTTTTGTGACAGCTTTTAGGTAGTTCCAGTTGAATGTAACTGTTTCCCTCTCCAGGGGAATACACCAGCAGGAAGCTGACTTGTATTTACACGTAAGGAATCGAGCCTAAAGTCCGACCAGTGACAAGCCAGCACCAGGAATTAGTCACACAGTTGTCTGAGAAATTACAGCCAACTAGGAAACAGCAGCAGAAAAAAATGACATGTATTTCCAGGTAAGTGAATCATAGTGATCAGTTCTGCTTGGGTACAAGAAATACATCACCTGCAAAATTTCTCAAAAGCATGAATTGATGTCCCAGCTGTGAGGAAGGAACCTCAGTGCCAGTGGGTGGGATGTTGATCTCTGTTCAGATCCATCCAGAACTACTGAAATGTGTTCAGAGCAGTCTGAGGTGTACGACTGAGCACGGAGTAAACCAAGCCCCTGGTCTGTACCCAGAGATGCAGTTCATCATTTTAAAATTTGTGCTGTTTTCATGTGTGGATCCTCTTGCTGATTAAAATGAGAACCCAGGAGTAGTGGCGTATGTATTGGCAATGGCAGGGATAGGGAGAAACCCAAATTGTTTCTGCAGGTTAGTTCAGCCAATCCTGCTTGTGTTGTGCTCCTGTCTGTCTCCTGCTTCCCAGACTCCCTCTGAGCATCCCTAGAATCAGTTCATGCATTTTAAGCGCAAAACAACAAAACTGGGGATTTCTTTTTGTGCTCTTGATAAATAAACCACAAAATCTCTGGCGGTGGCAGAACCCTTTGCTTTAGGAAGAAGATGCTATTTGAAATCCATTAAAAATGTTGTAGCTGTTTCCCATGTGGACTTTGTGGATCTTTCCTTATCTTACTCCCATTTTTGCCTCCTAAAACTGAATGACCCTGTTGTTATGAGGGCTGAGCTTTTAAAATCACTTGTCCCATCCAGGACAGCTACACCTGGTGTCTCCTTTTCCTTATCTCCCTGATTAGGGGTGATTCCTTTTTCCAGAAGTAAGTCAAAGCAATTGAACGGGAAGTCTCAGTCAGTGGAGCAGATTTTTCTCAGATAACAGGTGCTATGTTGACTTGATAAGAATTAATCATTAATGAGCTTAGTTCTCCTTCCACGTTACTCTTTTCC